TGAGAGGTTTGTAATAGTCATTGCAAGAGCTCTAGTTATGGATGGCAAGCTAATCAAAGGTGTTAGATAAGGGCCTACGCTATGTATGACGTTCACACATGACAGCCATGCATGTAACACGCAATACACAGCATTAAGTAACAGACCTGATTTTCTCACCCCTCTCTAAGACCTCTGAAAGTGTGTTTTGTCCAGATAAGCCCTTTAGCTCTGTTAATACAGTGATGTTTTCTGTCGTTAAGCCTTTGTGCACTTTGAACAGACAGTACGTACGGCTTTCGTCCCTCTAAAGACTGTGACATGGCATGAAACCAACACCCTGGGCAGTGCCATCTGTCAGCATGGCAGCCGCACACAGAGCGCTGGAGAGCAGCTCTGGACTCATAGCTTGTAGAGTTCCCTCTTCTAAAATCGAAGAATAATATTAGCTTGTATTTAAGGATGTGCATGGGTATACTGCTTTTTTTTTAAGTGCAATTTGTGGCATGTGGAATGATTCACATTTCAGATGAGGGTGATCAGTCACTCAGAGATGAAATGCTCCTCAGAATGACTTGGACAGTGGGCCGCTCTGTTTGCCAAGTGTTTCCATTAGAATCACCCTCATTTCCTCATACAGATTAGTGGGTCGGGCTTGAAATCCAGGGCAGAGAGTTAAATGAGGAAAGCGAGAGTGGTGCTGTAATGTCACACAATTGGCATACGGAAGCCCAGAAGGGCCGCAGAGGGTTTTAATAAGAGATCTGGAAGGGAGCCTGCTCCGACACTCAGCTGTATTCCCTTCACGTCCTCATACACTCATAATAAAGGTCCCTTATTGGCAGCTATGGTTCCATGGGGAACCTTTAACATCCATGGAAAATTTCCATTGCACAAAAGGTTTGTTATAGCAGAAAAATGTTCTTTAGATTATTCAAATGTTCTTAATACATATATATAAAATTAAAATGCACTCACTCTCAGGCTGTCTGTATGTAGATGTGTGTTTCTTAATTGGAAACAGGTTTGGAGAAATGTAGCATTATATTACTTGCTCACCAGTGGATCCATTGCAGTGAATGGGTGCCGTCAGGATGAGAGTCCAAACAGCTAATGAAAACATCACAATAATTCACAAATAATCCACACACCTCCAGTCCAAATATTAATGTCTTGTGAAGCGAAAAGTTGTATGTTTATAGGAAACAAATGCAATATCGTAAACCATCGCTATTATGGAGTCCATAATCCATAATAATGCTTGATCCAGTGAAAATTCCACAAATATTTAGGACTGTTTTGGACTGTTATTGCCCGCACAATGTTTGATCTGTGCATATTTCTCTCTTGATTCAGACGAGATGACTTTTTCAATGAAGGAAGCAAATTTATGGACAGAGGACTCGCATTTTAGGCATGAAGCAATGGTTTGAAGTTAAAAATGTGCATTTTAGCCAGAAGCATCAGTTTGAATTTAAAAATGTCTTAATGATTTCTTACAAACACACAGCTTTTCACTTCACAAGACTGATGGACTGGAGTGGTGTGGATTACTTGTGGATTATTGTGATGTTTTTATTAGCTGTTTGAACTCTCATTCTGATGGCACCCATTCACTCCAATCCATTAGTGAGCAAGTGATGTAATGCTCAATTTCTCCAAATCTGTTCAGATGAAGAAACAAACTTAGCAACATCTTGGATGATCTGAGTATATTTTCGGCATTTTTTTTATTTTGCCAATTAATTAACTTAAAGGGATAGTTCACCCAAAAAATTAAAATGTGATGTTAATCTGCTTACCCCCAGGGCATCCAAGATGTAGTTGACTTTGTTTCTTCAGTAGAACACAAACGAAGATTTTTAACTCAAACCGTTGCAGTCTGTCAGTCATATAATGGAAGTGAATGGGAATCACGGCTTTGAGAGTCAAAAAAACATACACAAACAAATTAAACCCTGCGGCTCGTGACGATACATTGACGTGTAAAGACACGAAACGATCGATTCACCGCAATGTCCGAACTGTCCTGAGCGCGTCCTCGACAGCCGGCGTGTGACGCGTCTTCTTCTTATAGACTTATAAGTGCATTACCGCCACCTATCTCTCAAATGGACCATTGACACTCCTAATTGAGATTGTAGATAGAGTGTCAATGGTCCATTTTGAGCGCTCAGGACAGTTCAGACATTGCGGTGAATCAGAGGTAAAAAACTATATAAATACTGTTCAGTTTCTTGCACAGACCGATCGTTTCGTGTCTTTACACATCAATGTATCGCCACGAGCCGCAGGGTTTAGTTTGGTTTTGTTTGTGTATGTTTTTTTGACTCTCAAAGCCGTGATTCCCATTCACTTCCATTATATGACTGACAGACTGCAACGGTTTGAGTTAGAAATCTTCCTTTGTGTTCTACTGAAGAAACAAAGTCACCTACATCTTGGATGCCCTGGGGGTAAGCAGATTAACATCTTATTTTCATATTTGGGTGAATTATCCCTTTAATTATACAATTTTACAGTATTTGTTGGGACAGCTGTCAGAATTTCATATGTTTAACAAAACAATGAGACACACTCACACAGGACACACTCAATATCAATATCGAGCAGTCACTGTTTATATAAAGAGATGTATGGAGGCTGCCACCAGCTGATAAATGATTCCTGTCATTAACTTAAGAGATAAGAAACGGTGCAGTGGGCTATTGGCATTGATCCGTGTGGGACAATCTGAAGGAATTATTTCCTGTTGTTTGACAGAATTTCATCGATTTAGGTGGTGACACCATTAATGAGACTTCCATCTCTGTTCTTTCTATCTGTTTTCCTCTATTACATGAAACACAAACACCTCTCCCTAATGATGATGGAATTGCAAGTGATTACGGTCTGCATTCATTAAGCCAAATTCCCAAAGAAACGTACATTTCATTATGAAGGGGAAAAACACAGAAAATAATGTCCTTGCAGTTACTAATGAGAAATTGCACGCTTGGTCTGCCAGTTGTGACAGTGACCTGAGCCGGAGGAATAGGAAGTAAGCAATGATTTCTCATTACTTTCTCTAACAAAATCAGATTCTTCACATGTTGAAGGTGCAAATATTCAAAGAAATGCATGCAAATTAGTGCAGCAAAGCACGGTTTGGTGAAAAACTCTTGTTTCAAGTATAAGCACAGCACAGACACAAAGGGATTTAACACTTACACTTACATCATGATTATCCAAAGCCCATGGGTTTTGTTAACAATAAATGAACACTGAAGTACTTGCCAGACCTCCAAAAACAAGTCCACTGAAGAAGTCTTCTAATAATCAAGTCCAGGAGGCAGACGCTAATGAGGAAAAGAAGAGAAATAAATCCAGGGAAGGATTTGATGTGTGTTCTTGTAGTTCCATTAGCCAATCAGCAATGTAATGGCATCATTATCTGGTCACATGACATTTTTGGTTCGGGTGTTTGGCTCAAAGTCCCAATAGATCATAAATAGTTTGTGTTCTTTAGTGTAAATGCAACTTGTCCATTATTTGAAGTCACAGTTTTCATTCTAAATCCATAGGCCTATGTGTAAAATATGAAATGAACAAAATCTACTGAAAAGAGGGGTGTGTTCTCCAAGAGCACAGTTAGGACCAACTATGGTCGCAAGTTCCATTGTTACCAGCATAGATTTGGTGTTTCCGAATCTATAGTTCCTATGAATGTTCACATACAGCATCACAAAGTTATGTGGTTGGAACTACAGCTCTCAACCTGTGGTTAAAAGGATAATTTCTTGTTAGTATGCCATATGTGACCCTGGACCACAAAACCAGCCATAAGGGTCAATTTTTCGAAATTGAGATTTATACATAATCTGAAAGCTGAATAAATAAGCTTTCCATTGGTTTATGGTTTGTTAGGATAGGACAATATTTGGCCGAGATACAACTATTTGAAAATCTGGAATCTGAGGGTGCAAAAAAAAAATCTAAATATTGAGAAAATCGCCTTTAAAGTTGTCCAAATTAAGTTCTTAGCAATGCATAGCAATGCAAGTTTTAATATATTTCCAGTAGGAAATTTACAAAATATCTTCATGGAACATGATTTTTGGCATAAAAGAAAAATCTATAATTTTGACCCATACAATCTATTTTTGGCTATTGCTACAAATAAATCAGACTTAAGACTGGTTTTGTGGTCCAGGGTCACATATGGACTTAAACAGATCATGTACTTGAGCAAAATAAGCAAGCTAACATGTAGTGCAATCTATACCCTAGTAAAAAAGTAATATATTTAAAATACATTTATTTCATACTAAGTATAGTTCAAATCTATGAACACATTTATTGACATATAACTCGAGACTTACTGGTATATAAATTATAATTAAACTTTACTTGGCATATTACTTGTGCACAATACACTTTTCTTAATATTAAGTCTAAAATGTGTTTTAATGTCACTTTTGATGAGGATTGTATGATCTTTGAATAATATCAGACTTTAAATGCAAATTATTTAAAGTGTACCTGAAATATACTTGCAATAGTACAACTGAAGGACATTTTATTAAGTACACACATATAAAAAAAAAATTGTAGTATACTTAGCATGAAATAAATGTATTTGAAATACATTTAAGTATATTTATTTTTCACTAGGGTATACAGACTTCTTTCTACATCAGTAAGTTTGTTAAAAGAATTAGAGTGTAGTAAGAGAACCTGAAAAATACAGTAAAATAATGGAGAACAAAAATACTGAAACAGTCCTCAGATGCCATGTTCGTTGTTAACAGCAATAATCTGACATTAATTTGATCTCAAACTAATTAATTTGCAGACGTTATCACTGTATCACCTGCTTGACCTTATTAACCTCAGTTCTAACCAATGATGGATGTGCGACAAAGTTCCTTCCTCTTGTTTCTTCCAATTAGCACAGGTTTTGTATTTCTTTTTGGAACTGACTGATTGTAGCAATCAATGATCTGAGCTTATGCACCTTAGCTTTTATTTATTACTTGTGAATAATTTTGCCAATGTTCACTCAAAAACAAAGGTGCATAAGATCAGATCAGTGAGGCCTACGATCAATAAGTTCCAAAAAGTAATACGAAACCCATGCAAAATCAAAGAAAACAAGTTGATAAAAAGATTGAATCCAATAGTTGGCAATAATAAAACATAAAGAGTGGTTAAGAAGCACATTTATTTTTGACAGGGTTTTTCACGATGAAACGATGGGGATCCTAAAAAATACAAATATTATCCAGTTTTTGGGGGGGAAGTTGTTATACCCTGTGTGAGCAAAGTGAACAAGTTTTGTCAGGGAAAAAAAGACTGGACTGCAACATGAGGGTTTAAATTCATAGCCATAAAGTTTTTTAAATAACATGCAAATTTTGCATCTCATTTGACACTCCAATTAAAGAATTACCCTATTCTAGATCTACTGACAAGGTCTAACAGCCAATGCTAACTAGCCAAACCTTGACCCCATAGTTAGGAGAGCCATGGAAATATACAGTAGTTGTGTGTGTCTCTGCATGCTTTTTAGTGCTGGGCAGTATGACCAACAATTTATATCACGGTATTTTTCCAAATTATACCGGTTTCACGGTACATGACGGTATTTTTTTTTCATGCATGACTGGGTGTTAACCATATTTTCTATATTTTGATTATTATAATTCCAAACAATCAGTAAGCGACAGGTGCTAGGAAACGCTGTTTTGTACTCATTTATTGACGAGTCGGCTGCGGTGCGGCCAACTGAATGCGCTGCTTCTCTGCTGCTCACTGCACAGAACAGACGCCGAGAGAGGCGACACTTCTCCGGGAAAGTCAGACCTCACGCTCGCGGGACAGCACTGGAGAAATCTTCCAACTGAACCATAGCTAAGGTTTATCCAAAAAAGTCGCTAGGTTTGTCAGTATGAATATTCTATGGAAAAAAGCCGCTAAAAGGGTCTGAAAGTTGCTAAATCTAGTGCTAAAGTGGCACTCGTGTGTGTGAGACGAGGGAGCTGATGGCAGGGGGCGGTGGATATTTGTGGCGGTCAGTGTGGATATTGTGGATGAGTTCTTCTGTGTCATGACGTTCTATAAGTTCTACAGCTTCAGTTTCGGAACTTTCACGCTTAGTAACACATACAGCTGTTTCCTCACCACAGTGCAACAGTGAAAAGGGACACCTTTTAAACAGTGTCGTGTTCCGAACGTTGTTCGGTATTGCGGTATTTTAAAAATTCATATAATAACAAAAATAAACACCGGTATTCGGTATAAACCGGTATACCGCCCAGCACTAAGCGTTTTCAAAATAAATTTGATGACTGGTGTGTGAACACACCTCCAGGTGAGCCCGTCAACACATTTTTCATTTGTCCATAGCTAAGGTTTATCCAAAAAAGTCGCTAGGTTTGTCAGTATGAATATTCTATGGAAAAAAGCCGCTAAAAGGGTCTGAAAGTTGCTAAATCTAGTGCTAAAGTGGCACTCGTGTGTGTGAGACGAGGGAGCTGATGGCAGGGGGCGGTGGATATTTGTGGCGGTCAGTGTGGATATTGTGGATGAGTTCTTCTGTGTCATGACGTTCTATAAGTTCTACAGCTTCAGTTTCGGAACTTTCACGCTTAGTAACACATACAGCTGTTTCCTCACCACAGTGCAACAGTGAAAAGGGACACCTTTTAAACAGTGTCGTGTTCCGAACGTTGTTCGGTATTGCGGTATTTTAAAAATTCATATAATAACAAAAATAAACACCGGTATTCGGTATAAACCGGTATACCGCCCAGCACTAAGCGTTTTCAAAATAAATTTGATGACTGGTGTGTGAACACACCTCCAGGTGAGCCCGTCAACACATTTTTCATTTTCCAAAACACTGACAACTGACTGATTCCTGTCGCTCAGACAAATTAAATTTGCGAGAAAAGCACTTACCTCCAGCTGGCAGAGAGCATGCCAGTCTGATCAGTGAAAAAAGCTGCTTTACTAGTCCTCTTATGATGCCTCATCTCACAATGTCAAATCAAATAAGCTGTTTGATAATCGCCACAGAGGGTTTAATTATAGTAATGATCTCATCTCCCACATCAGCCTGCCTCTCATGGTGCAAAGCCACATCCACAGGCAGATTGAAAGCCCTCTCTCCCTCCCTCCACGTCTCTGCTGCTCTCTCTGCCAGACACCTGCTGCAACAGCCTCTTAACACTGCAAATTCACAAAGACAAATGAATATCGCTGCACTTTAAAGGAAGGACCGTGTAGATAAGACACTGCAAGAGTTGTTTTGGCCTGTGGCACAACAGGAAAGACTTCCTGAGCAGATACATAGGGACTCTCAGAGGATCTGCGGAAGTATTGATTTTCCTGCCAAGGAATTACTTCTCATTAGTGACTGTGCATGCTGTTGTTACTTTGAAAACACAACAGGAGAGGCTGGAAATAGTGGGACATTGGTGAGAGGTGTAAGCTAGAAACACAAAACAAGTACCAGAGGCAAAATGATTCTCAGTGCAAAAGAAAGTGGACTGTTTCCTAACACAATTAAGTACTTAAAAAAAAACGAATTAAAAAAATGCACTTTATAATGTCAAACTAAACATTTACTTTAAAGTACATTTTAAATAATTGTTTTAATAATCTTTTCATGATTTAAAGCTACAGTCCGTAACTTTTTTTGGTTAAAAATGATCAATATTTGAGTAAGTGCATAACTAGCCAGTGTTCAAAACTATCACCTTACTTTAGCTTGTTTCACAACGGTTAGTTTATAATAATGTTTTGTAATTTGAGTGGTACGGGGGCCTGTACCATGAAGCCAGATTAGCTGGCTAGCCAAGTAAGTTTCAGTTTAGTTTGCACCAATAAGACAACCAGTTCGAAGGGAGCATAATTTGTTTTTTGGGTTAAAATCATTTCTTAATATGAAATTCGAATGGCATTACAATAAGAGATTAGACTGTACAGAAATTGAAATCTACTCGCTTATACACACTATACTCATAGTCACGCGATGCTGATGTTGTTAACATTAACAATTTGAGAATAAAGTATAACAAAAATAATAATTTGCACGGTTTGATGTGATATGAGATCATTTAGATTAAATTACCATTGGTAGTGCAATTTATTGTAATGCTTTTTCCTCAGATGGTCAGAACAAATGTGGCAGACTTGTTACCTACTTGTTCTGATGACAATATACGGTGAAAATTCCTATTTGGGTTATATATTCCAAGACGTGAGTGCAAAGTACAATAAATATCCACACCGGTGCGGTGACTGACTGCCACACATACTTCTCAAAATATTAGATTAATCCGCGCTGGAGCCGTGCCGACTCACAACCCACGCAAGGAAGATAATTCCGGACACAGCTGCAGTTTCAGGTTTTCAAACAGAGATGGCGACAAAGAGGCAAAACTTACGGACTGCAGCTTTAAGGACTCGCAGTACTTTGATGTGTTGACTAACATGCTAAAGCATGTAAAGTACTTGATTATAATTTAACTGTATTGTGTTATTTGATAATACATTTAAAGTTAATATATATTAAATGGACTAAATTGCAGCTTCATCATTACAAATGTGTAATTATAAATGTATTTAAATGCATGACATACACATTTCAATCGAAATTACATTAATGTTTGTTAATAACTTTAAAATTAAATAAAATAGTTTATCGTGAATGCTTGTCAGTACATTCAGCATTACACTTCAAACATATTTCAAAGACAACAGAAGTAACTATGAAATTACATATTAAGATGCGCTTAAAGTCCTACTTATGTGAGTTAAAAAGCACTCCTAATAATAACTTATTAAATAATTTTCAATGATAAAACTTTCATGTAGTTGTAAATAACATGCAAATAAGTCTCCGAAAACATTACATTCAGTTCGCACTTAAGATTATTTTTGAAGTATATAATTTCCTAAATAAATTCACTACAAAAGTATGCTAAAAATAAACGTAAATCAAACATCTGATACATATGTCCCACAATTAAGATTCCTATGTACATACATTTATTATCTTTATAAATGTTCATGATGGTGATCCAGTGTTGAATAAGTTGCTTTGAAGCTAAAGCATTACAAACTCATTCAGGTTGCTGTCATTCAGAAAAAAAATTAGAATACTGCAAAAAAAAAAAAAAAGCCACTAGCAAAAATAGCTAACTACATTTAAGCTAGAGAGCAATATCTTTTTAAATATGCTAGTGAGTAATCAGACAGAACAGCTAACTTCCAGTCACTGGAATAAGCAACTCTGTTTTGAGTTATATCTAGCTAAATGTGAACAGTTTAACTAGTTTAACTCAACAAGATTCCCTTCCATTGCCCTGTCACGACATTAGTTGAAAGTGAAAACTGACCATATAACAGACAATTTACACTAATACCATTATACCGGCCCTTGCGGCAAAGCTGAGAATGCAAGCAGTTGCGTTATGAATTCCGTTCTGACACCTTTCAGAACCCAGCGATGCGTGAAATTGAGCTTTTGTAGCTGGAAGCGTTTGCATTCATGCACTTGCGTAGAGTATGTTTGGGTTTTATTTGTTGGAGTTGACGGTGTGGTGTGATTTGAATGTCTGTCATCCCGGTGTATATACCTTTGTCCAGCTGAGGAAAGCCTGACATCATTCAGGAGAAGACTGGAAATGAGAGTGTCTGACAGAGCACTTTACTCTGACAGTGACTTCTTGGCCTCAGGAGAGATAGAAGAGCAGAGAGCAGTACGTTACATCAAATATCTTCATTCAGAGTAAAGAGCCAGTGAGATTTATAAAAAGGACTCTGTCCTTATTTCCGTCAGGATGCAAGCCACCCAGATGTTTTTGTTTTTATTCACCCCCCCCTTTTTTTTCTTCCTTTCTTCCATTTTTGCGGTCTTCTCGCTTGGACTGTGATGTAAAAATATTAGAGCTGTCAAAGCTGATGTATTAACTTATTAGATTAGTTAAATATTTAAGTCTGTTAAACCTATTTAATGCATTTAGCTAATTAGCAATGCTTGCTAAGGGAAGCACCACTGCACACCGTTTGTGCTATGAATATAAATGTTAATTCAAAGTTTGTGCCTTATTTGGGGAGTCAATTGCTTACTTTTTTAAAGCAATCACACTTCAAATTTTCAACAGATGATAAAAAAAAATCCCATTGGCTGAAAGAGGAACTCCTAGTGAATATCAGCTCACATTTTCTTCAGAAAAACTGATTCATTATGTTCTGTACTTTTTCAGAAGTTGAACTTTAACTTTTATACGTTAAAAGACTATAATTAAGTGCAATTTGAATGTTGACACCTAATTGCATGTTATTTACAATTAACAACAAAAAAGATGATCTGTTTAGCATAATGAATTAAAATGTACTCTTTTTAATTTGACGTTATTATAAATAACACTTTTTAAAAGTGCCTTTCTCAAGAGAAGTGAAACTGCAAGACTGTGTGTTATGTATTTTTATGCTTAAACGAGTATTCTCTTTCAACTTGGCAACATGCTAAAGTAAAATTGGTAACACTTTACAATAAGGTTCATTAGTTAAACATTAGTTAATGTATTAACTAACATGAAGTAACCATGAGCAATACATTTGTTACTGTATTTACTAATCTACGCTAACGTTAGTTAATACAAAGCTAAAAATAAACGTAAATCAAACATCTGATACATATGTCCCACAATTAAGATTCCTATGTACATACATTTATTATCTTTATAAATGTTCATGATGGTGATCCAGTGTTGAATAAGTTGCTTTGAAGCTAAAGCATTACAAACTCATTCAGGTTGCTGTCATTCAGAAAAAAAATTAGAATACTGCAAAAAAAAAAAAAAAGCCACTAGCAAAAATAGCTAACTACATTTAAGCTAGAGAGCAATATCTTTTTAAATATGCTAGTGAGTAATCAGACAGAACAGCTAACTTCCAGTCACTGGAATAAGCAACTCTGTTTTGAGTTATATCTAGCTAAATGTGAACAGTTTAACTAGTTTAACTCAACAAGATTCCCTTCCATTGCCCTGTCACGACATTAGTTGAAAGTGAAAACTGACCATATAACAGACAATTTACACTAATACCATTATACCGGCCCTTGCGGCAAAGCTGAGAATGCAAGCAGTTGCGTTATGAATTCCGTTCTGACACCTTTCAGAACCCAGCGATGCGTGAAATTGAGCTTTTGTAGCTGGAAGCGTTTGCATTCATGCACTTGCGTAGAGTATGTTTGGGTTTTATTTGTTGGAGTTGACGGTGTGGTGTGATTTGAATGTCTGTCATCCCGGTGTATATACCTTTGTCCAGCTGAGGAAAGCCTGACATCATTCAGGAGAAGACTGGAAATGAGAGTGTCTGACAGAGCACTTTACTCTGACAGTGACTTCTTGGCCTCAGGAGAGATAGAAGAGCAGAGAGCAGTACGTTACATCAAATATCTTCATTCAGAGTAAAGAGCAAGTGAGATTTATAAAAAGGACTCTGTCCTTATTTCCGTCAGGATGCAAGCCACCCAGATGTTTTTGTTTTTATTCACCCCCCCTTTTTTTTTCTTCCTTTCTTCCATTTTTGCGGTCTTCTCGCTTGGACTGTGATGTAAAAATATTAGAGCTGTCAAAGCTGATGTATTAACTTATTAGATTAGTTAAATATTTAAGTCTGTTAAACCTATTTAATGCATTTAGCTAATTAGCAATGCTTGCTAAGGGAAGCACCACTGCACACCGTTTGTGCTATGAATATAAATGTTAATTCAAAGTTTGTGCCTTATTTGGGGAGTCAATTGCTTACTTTTTTAAAGCAATCACACTTCAAATTTTCAACAGATGATAAAAAAAATCCCATTGGCTGAAAGAGGAACTCCTAGTGAATATCAGCTCACATTTTCTTCAGAAAAACTGAAGTTCTTCAGAAAAACATTATGTTCTGTACTTTTTCAGAAGTTGAACTTTAACTTTTATACGTTAAAAGACTATAATTAAGTGCAATTTGAATGTTGACACCTAATTGCATGTTATTTACAATTAACAACAAAAAAGATGATCTGTTTAGCATAATGAATTAAAATGTACTTTAAACCTTTTAATTTGACGTTATTATAAAGAACACTTTTTAAAAGTGCCTTTCTCAAGAGAAGTGAAACTGCAAGACTGTGTGTTATGTATTTTTATGCTTAAACGAGTATTCTCTTTCAACTTGGCAACATGCTAAAGTAAAATTGGTAACACTTTACAATAAGGTTCATTAGTTAAACATTAGTTAATGTATTAACTAACATGAAGTAACCATGAGCAATACATTTGTTACTGTATTTACTAATCTACGCTAACGTTAGTTAATACAAATACAGATGTTCATTGTTAGTTCATGTTAGTTCACAGTGCATTAACTAATGTTAACAAGATTTTAATAATGTATTAGTAAATGTTGAAATTAACATTAACAAAGATTAATAAATGCAGTATAAGTGCAGTTCATTATTAGGTCATGTTAACTAATGTAGTTAACTAATGAACCTTATTGTAAAGTGTTACCGTAAAATTGTATTGCAGTGAACTGAGTAAAGTCAGGTGAGGAAATATTAATTTTATGGCATTGTGGTCTTTTCTAATCAGTCGCTTACGAGTTTAGGTTTCAGGGGTTTGCTTTTCTTTTAGACATATTTAGCTCACTAAAGTTTTGTAACCAATCATGTGAGTATAATCTGTCCACTTCACTAGAAAGCACAAAACATGATTCATGTCTTATATTATATTTAGTTTTTTTATGCCAGTTTGCTGCTTCTATTGTTTATAAACACCTTGAAGAGGACGATTTTCATTTTCATTTCCGAACATCTGCTAGCTGGCACAGAAGTAGGGCATATGGAAAGCATGTCCTCCTTAACGTCACAGTGAGTTATGACAGTTTCCATGTGCGACGTGCAATAAGCATAATTAAAGTGCTATTCTCCTGGGGTTTGCTTTATGTAGCACACATCTTTCATAGCAACAGATGCTTTTCGTTTAAAGTGAGGAATGACATAGAAGTAGCCCTTCTTCAGAAAACTCATGCACCTATTCGAACTTCTGCACCTTTTTAGATAAAACTCATGGCAGCTTCTAATGGGAAGGCTAACATTAATTCTAAATGTTCTATAAACAATTCAGTCCATCAGAATCATTCTAATATGATGATTTGCTGCGAAGTTATTTTTGGAGCTCAGCTATTAATGGTTCTTATTATATCAGTGTTGAAAACAAATATTTATTCATATTTTTTTTCCGTTGGTAAAATTATAAATATCAAAAATAATGTATTTACTGTCGCTTTTGATCAATTTAATGCTTTCTTGAACAGCAAATCAGCATATCTGAATGATTTCTGAAGGAGACTGAAATAATGATGCTGAATAACTTAACAGGAATAAATAAATGTATTTAAATTTTTAAATATATAAAAATAGAAAACAGTTCTTTTAAATTGTAATACTACTTCTCAATATTATTGTTTTATTTATGATCAAATAAATGCAGACTTTGTGAGTGTTAGAGAATATTTTCAAAAACGTAAAAAAAAAAAATTATCAACTTTTATAAATACATTTTTATCGGTTGTTTATTCTTGTGGGAATGGAATGTTAACATTCCCATGAAGTTATGAAAATGTTCATTCTAAATTTTTAAGAAAATTTTTTAAAATGTTTTTAAAGGGGTGTTTTTATAGGATGCTACATGCACTTTTAGAAGTTGTTTGAACTTAAATGTGTGTTGGCAGTGTGTGTACACTACCACCCTATAAAGATAAAAACAATTTTTTTTAATCTCGTTAAATGTTTTTCGCTTTCTCAAATCGAGCCGATCTCAGATGCCTGTCTGTGTGACCTCACACAGACAGGCCCCTGCCACGGTAGTTTGATTGACAGTAGCGTTTCAGCAGACTGTACTGGTGTCTTACCTTAGACCCGCCCTGAGTGACTGTCATCAGTCCGCCATTGTTTCACCGCCGGAGCAGATGTAGACAAGAATGACTCCTAAGCGATTGAGGTGTTCTGTTGTTGGATGTAATAATGAACATAGCAGTCCTCATTTACTCCCGACATCTGAGCCGCTGAACTCGCAGTGGATTATTTGTTTCTGAAGGGAATGCGCCCCGATCTGCATAAATGCATCTATGTTCGCGCGAATCATTCGTGATCCAGCCTCATCTACAGAAGAAGTGAGTATAATGTTTTGTAATGAATCTTTGCAGATCACCTTTCCTAATAATGTGCTAATTAGCAAGTTTCACGATGAATGCGGCTAAAGTAAACAGTCTCTCTGAGAGCAGCTCGGAAGAGAGGGGCGGGGTCAGCAGAGCTCATTATCATTTAAACGAAAATGCTACAAAAATGGCTTGATCTGAAAAGAGCTGTTTTTGACAGGGTAAAAAAAGGTGTTTTTTGCACTACCATTGAGAAATGTTAACCAAACTATGTTACAGACTTTTCATTAAGACCCTAAAGAATCATATCAACTTGTGGAAAATGGGCATCCTATGACCCCTTTAAATGTTACTTTTGAATGTCCTCTGAACGTTCTGAAAGTCCTTATCCAGTAATCACAAGCCACTGTAGGTCATGAAAAAGTCATGAAATTAGTCTGAATTTGTGGGAAGCTATGTGTTGGGTAATACCACAGTTTCAGGGTGCACAACACACAATTTTATTATCAGAAATGTCAAGGTTGAGAAATCACTTGAACATTAGTGAAAGAAAAACTTTACGACCCTTTTGACCTTAGCAAGCTCTATTAACCCCACAATGAGATCTGGGTAATATTGATCTATAGTTCCTTATTTACTGCCTGTGCTATACAGAGTGTGAAGGAGAGACGACGGCAGAGGAACAAACAGAAGAGCACAAATCATGAGCTCCAGTTAAACGTCACTGCATGTGATATTGAGCAACCATTACTGGAGTTGATATGAGGATTTCAATATCAATATCGAGCAGTCAGTGTTGAGCTCTGGAGATATTTGGAGGCTGTCACCAGTTGATAAATCGGGTGTTTTGATTCCTGTCATTAACTTAAGAGATAATAAACGGTGCAGTGGGCTATTGGCATTGATCTGTGTGGGACAATCTGAAGGAATTATTTCCTATTTTTTGACTCACACAACACAAATTCATCGATTTAGGTGCCAACACTATTAACGAGAGCTTCCATCTCTGTTCTTTCTCTAGCATACGCTATCGGTCAAAAGTCTGGAACAATTAAGATTTTTTATCTTAAGATCTTTTTTTATTTTTCTTGTGCTCACCAAGACTTCATTTATTTGATCAAAAATACAGTAAAAATACTAATATTGTAAAATAGTATTAGAATGTAATGTTGAAAACATTTTAAAATGCAATTTGTTAGTATTTCTGTGGAAATCATACAGTAATGTACTACCACTCAAAAGTTTGGGGTGAGAAAATTGATAGTTTTAATCCGCAATAATGCATTCAATTGGTCAAAAGTGAAATGTATAATGTTACAAAAATGTATTTTTCAAAGAATTCTGAAAAAAGTTTCACAATTTCCACAAAAAATATTAAGCAACAAAATCTGTTTTCAACATTAATATAAAAAGAAACATTAATGACTGATCCACAAATCAGCATAATTATGATAATGAATTCTGAAGTATCATTTGACACTGGATTTGACTGGATTAATGATGCTGAAAAATTCAGCCTTCTGTCACAGTCTTCAGCCGGTGTGCCCAGGAGGGCCACCAGATGACTGTGTTCTGGGAGCACATGGCTTGTGTTGTGTTTGTCTGTTGCCATGTGCTCTCTCCTGTCTATTGTCTGGCCCCTCCCATCTTGTTACCTCGTTATTTTTTTAGTTGCTCCACCTGTGTCTCCCTCGTTTGGTTCCTATTTATTCTCCTTGTGTCTGCCGTCATGTGCTGATCCGTCATTTCTCATTGTGTGTGTTTCGTGTCTGCATGTGTGCAGCTTTAGGCCTGCCTGTCTGTTTTTCCCCCTCGGGGTGGTTTGAGTTTGTTTTTGTTTAATTTTTTACTAAAATAAAATACCCTTTCTCCAGCGATTGAGTCCTCGCTTCATCTCCCCTCACGCACCGTGACACCTTGCATCACAGGAGCAAGTTACAGTTTAAAATATATTAAATAGAATACAGTTGTTGTATATTCTATTCACTGTATCTTTGATCAAATAAATGCAGCCTTTTTGAGTGTTAGAGACTTTCAAAAACATTTTTGAAACAAAATCAGAATTATTCCAAACTTGACCAGTGGTATAGTTTCTCTGTTGTATTGAACACACTTTTTCTGATGTAAATGCAAGAAATTATGGTCTGGATTCATTAAGCCAGCAATGTAGATTCCATTATGAAGGGGAAAAAACAGAGATAATAATGTTTAATAGTTACTAATGAGAAAAAATTTAATAAATCCAAAAATAGGTTTGGTATGCAACCAAGGACTCGTCTGGGACTTTTGGAATCAGCAAGAAACAGCATTTTACTTGCCACTGTCTTGGATCTAATGAATTATTCAAGCTTGAGCATGTTTCCTGATGTGAGTCCATTTTCTAGATTGTTGCTGGGACGTCCTGAGCTCTAGCGCTCACGCTGTGAGCAGAGTTTCCCTGCACGCTCTTTCCTGTAATGAGCTGCTGGCTAGAGTGAATGAATGCTGAAAAAGCGGCTTGAAACTCTTTGACTGTGTGCAATGGTTTCTGATTCATGATGTCATAAAGGGCCACTTCAGGCAATTACACATGCATTAGCCCACGCAGCACAGGAAACAGCCCTCCGCTCGCACTCAGGGCTCCGCTTACCGCAGCCTCTCTCCTGCAATTGCCGGAAATTAACTTTGTTTTAACAGGCGTCAAATCCATTTGGAAAACAATTGATCAAATTCACCTAACAGCTGGATTGGCTGAAGTCATTTGCAGTCAACATTAACAGCAAGTCTACTGTATTATCTAGACCAAGGGTCTCAAATTACAGTCCACGGGCCATATCCTGCACCTGAAGTTGATCGTTTATCTTTACAAATAAACAAAACAAAAAAGTATGTAATTCACTGCAACTTCTCCAGACAATTTATTTATCCAGCACTAAAGTGCATGTTAATTACTAATAAATGAAAATGTACTATAGTATAAATATATAATTAATGTAGATACCTGGAGTGCGTTTTTGACTTAAAGGGTTAGTTCACCCAAAAATGAAAATTAGGCTGCGTTTTACTCCCCCCTCTTTCAAGCTGATAATGCCACTCAGCGGGTGTTGCATTGCTTCAGTCCAAAAGAACTTAAATAAAAATCGCCCATCCATAAAAAAAGTGTCTCACACGGCTCCGGGGGGGGAACAAAGGCCTTCTGTAGCGAATCGATGCGAATTTGTAAGAAAAATATCCATATTCAAAACGTAACAATCACTTGAATCTAGCTTGCTCTCGCTGTTGTAAACAGAAGCAGTTCTGGGGGAATGACGTATGAGGTCGGCTTTGCACATGCGCCGCTCAGAAGTTGACACACGCGGAAACGCAGCGGAGAGATCAAAACATAACAACGGTCAAGAATTAGAAGTACAAAACGAGGATTTGTAAAGAAGAATGTCAGAGGATTTCGATATAAGCTAAGAGGAGACTGGTTTTCCTTTGCTAATGTAAGGAAACTTTGCTTCCCATGATCCTGTTAACAAATGTTCGTTTTCACGAGACTCACGAGGTGCATGTGCAACGCTGACCTCATACGTCATCCGCCCGGAACTGCTTCTGTGTACAACTGCTGGCGCAAGCTACATTAAAGTGATTATTACATTTTGAATATGGATATTTTTCTTACAAAAACGCCTCGATTCGCTACAGGAGGCCTTTGTTCACCCCCCGGAGCCGTGTGAGACATTTTTTTTATGGATGGGCGGTTTTTATTTAAGTTCTTTTGGACTGAAGCAATGCAACACCTGCTGAGTGGCATTAAACAGCTTGAAAGATCAAAGACAATTTTTTATATAACTCCGACTGGATTCGTCTGAAAGAAGAAAGTCATATACACCTAGGATGCCTCGGGGGTGAGTAAAACGCAGCCTAATTTTCATTTTTGGGTGAACTAACCCTTTAAGTAGGATTTAAGTCCATCTTTATATGTAGTTACTTATATTGACTTTGAAATATTGTTAAAGTGCCATCAGAATGAGAGTTCAAACAGCTCATAAAATCAGTTATGTTATCAGTTAATCAGTTATTAACTTTAAACTGTTGGAAAATACAAGTTCTCTATCCTTATTTTTATTTCCTCCAATGAAAAAGGCATCTTGTCTGAATCAGGAGAGAAATATGTGCAGATTAAGCACCAAGCGAAAAAAGTTTAAAATAGTTGTAAATGAAAATGTTGGTACAGTAGATTTTGATCTGAGAGCATAACAGGAGATGTTTTTCACTAGAGGAAGCATTATTATGTATTATGGACTGATATTGTGTCCTGAAGTGATGGTTTAAAATTAGAACAACTTAAAGTTTAATATGTTTCTTACAAACGCAGCTTATCACAAGACATTAATTGATGGACTGGAGTCTGGAGTGGTGTGGATTACTTGTGTATCATTATGATGCTTTTATCAGCTTTTTGGACTCTCATTCTGACGGCACCCATTCACCGCAGAGGATTCTTTGGTGAGCAAGTGACGCTACTTGTCTCCAAATCTGTTATGATGAAGAAACAAACTTATCTACATCTTGGATGGTTTGAGGCCTCTGGGGGAAATATTCCTTTAATGCAATTTTATTGAAATTTGCATGTTATATATTTAAATATATTTGTAATCACACATTTCCAAAGATGAAGTTACAGCTGTTAGCGGTAAGTTTCAATGTAACATCAAATAATAAAATACAGTTAAATTTATAATCAAGCACGTCATGTAATTTAGTATGTTAGTCAACATATCAAAATGTGTACGTTTATAAAAACATAATGATTTGAAATTTACTTTTTAAGTGTACTTAATTGTGTTAACAGTCATGACAATGTACTTTAAGTACACTTACAGCGGTGGCCAAAATTATTAGAACACTTGGCATATTTAAGAGCTATGAGTTGTTTTTGTTGAATTGGCCATTACAATACCCATAAAACAAACTATTTCTGCTGGAACACTGAAAATGATGGACTGGCTCCCTCAAAGTCCGGACCTCAAACCCATCGAGGAATTTTGGGGTGAGTTGGAAAATAAACTGGACAGATCTATTGTACATTCAAAGGAAAGCCTTTGGCTTGAGTTGCAGGAGGCATGAGATAACATTAGTGTTGACGTTCTTAGGAAATATAATGACTTCATGCCATAGAGATGTGCTGCTGTAATTGCTGCAAAAGGTGGACGTACCAAATACTAAAGGTAAAAGTGAATAAAAGCAGTACGACTCACTTCATCTGATATTTGTTGTGCTCAGAGCAACCATCTGCATGTTTCATGAACATTATGAAATGAAATCATGTTTTGGAGGCAAAAAAGGTCAATATTTTCAGATCTGTCAGGTGTTCTAATAATTTTGGCCACCACTGTAAATGTCCTTATATAAGATTTGAAGTACAAGTGCACATTCAATACAATACATTCATTTTTTTTTGTATGACTAAAGACACTGACTAATATTACGTTGTTGTTTTTATGATTAACCTGACAGATCTGGTCTATGAACAGTTGTTATAAAGAGCTGTCGAAAAAATCCCCCTTTTTTGGCATAAAATTCTCTTTTAGCATACTTCTTTGTGAGATTAGTGTGGAGGAGAAAAAAATGTGACAAGGTAATGCTTTTTTCTTATCAGCACTGCCCTGCATTGTAGACCTCCTAACTATGAGTCACCAGTGAATCCTACAACAAACTCAAAGATAGGACAAAGCAACGTGTGACTCATCTCCTCTTGCAAAATAAAAAGCACAAGAACTTTGACAAACTATAGAAACAGGGAGAATTTATTTAAAGCACTTTGTCCCCTACATAGAAAAATATGATTGATTTAAGT